AAAAAAGTTTAAGCCTCAATTTTTACAATACAAAAACACTTCTACATTTTTTAATTGCGGAAGGATATTGGAAATATAAATTCATCCCACATCTAAAATAAAAGGTAGAACAAACTTTTGGGAACTGATTAAATACGTACAAGTTTAAAAATGATTATATTCATAATTTAAAAAATCTAGATAAAAATGGTGATGAATTTAATTTTTCTCAGTATTTAATATGCCAATATGAAACCAGATCAACATATCCTATTCTTCCATGAAAGGTGAGTATGGCAAAGATCTAGAACAATTAAAGACTGCCTATGAGTGCTACCGACCTGCCGGCTAATATTAAATGGTATCTCTCTACCGCTAACATATTTGTCAATTCCCCTAGTAATGTTTAATGAGCTATTCAATTTTCTGTCTGGTACGTGCAGAAAATGCAACCATTTCGATAGTCTGAAATATGACGAGACTGTAATATGATAGCAAGAAATAAATGCTAACTTAGTTATTACAAAAATAAAGAAATAATGTTATATTAAATGATTCAAACGTTCCAGTTGATTCCTCTCACATGCTGGATACGTGTAATCCATAAATTCAACAGGTTATTGATTATGTGAGAAAAGATAGTTGTTATTGTAACCCAATATGTAGATTACGCGTAATTTCGCATGCTAATTACGTCTGATCTACCTTTAGATTATGACAATTTGGAAGAAATACTAACAATTATACCACATATAGAGAGTGTCTTTTTCAATAAGTTTAGCCCGTTTGGACACAAAAAACAATTTACTTTTTTTCTGAATTTTTTTTATTTTTTCGAAATCAGTGTTTGGCCATAAAATTTTTAATTTTCATTTGAAGATAATTTTAAAATTTTTCGAAAATTTAAAAAATTCCAAAAAACTGTTTTTCAAAATTCACTCAAATCACTCACAAAACTTCAAAAACAACCCAAAATAATATTCATGTCCAAACACAACTCTAATTTTCAAATATTATTTTCACTTGAAATTTTTTTCACTTTTTTTTTGGAATTTTACAATTCTTATGTCCAAACGTCCACTTTAATATCCAGCACTCAATTTGAACCTCTAACTGCATTTTCAGGCTTATTAGACCTTTTATTTTAAAACGTGACACAGACAAAGTTTGGCGATCTTGATTATTACAGCTACTTGTGACTATACTATTTTAAGAAGAAAAAAAAAATGTTAAAAAGCTTGTGCATTACCTAAAAAACATGACTTTCTGCTAAAATCTTACATTCCGTTGCCCAGTTGACTTGATTTCCTTAGACTTTCATTTTCTCTTTTTTATTTTAAGTTAACTAATCTAAAATTTCAATTTTTTTACTTCTATTATTGGTTGTTAATCAGTGTGAAGCAAAGAATTCTAACAAGGGAACCACGCCTGAATCGTAAACCTTTATTTCTCTAATGTTAAGGGAATTTGAAATTTTATGAATGTATATAAAAAAATTATTTTACCCTATTTACACACTATAATTTATTGGGAAATAAATCATTCAAATGACATGAAATTAAATTGGTTATAGTTTGTTGGCCAAAAGTAAGATATCAAGAAGTGTAAGTTTGTTCTTTGTTTCCTTAGCTAAACGAAAATTCAGGGCACTTAAAATTTTACCTGACCAAATATAGCTTGCGGGACTCTTTGATGTAGCGCTTCCTCCAACTCTTTCCCCAGCGGCGCCGCCCCGGACAACACGAGCCTAATCGAACTCAAATCGAACGAATCAACCATCGGATTTTTCGCCAACGCAAGAACCAAGGGCGGAACTACTGCTGCAACTGACACGCGGTGGTTTTGTATCAGCTCCAGCAATGCACCAATTTCGAATTTTTGCATTAGTAAAACACTAGCTCCTGCTCTTAACGAGACTAAAAGCACTGAATTTAACGCAAATATGTGAAACAAAGGTAGCACACATAGCACCACGTCGTCTTGTTTTAAGTACAAATTTGGATTATCTCCGTCGACTAATTGAGCTACTCCTGTGATTAAACTTTTGTGAGTTAAAATCACACCTTTTGGTAGCCCTGTTGTTCCTGAAGAAAATGGTAAAGCTACTGGATCATCTGGTTGGATTACAATTCCCTTTGGCATTTCCTCTTCGTTAGCTTCAGAAAGTACAGAGAAATGTAAGCAATTTTCAGGGGGGTCATCAATTGTAATGACTGAAAAATCTTCGCCAATTTTCGGGTCATTCTCTCCAGAATCACGAAATTTATCCACGTACTGAGATTGAGTAACGATTAGTTTTGCATTCGACGCTTTTAATTGCTTAAACGCCTCTGCTTTTGTGTAAAATGGATTAGCTGTAGTTATAACGGCGCCAATCATAGAAGCCGAGAGAAAAGTAAACACAAATTCCGCGCAGTTCTGGAGAAAAGTCATGATTACATCTCCCTTTTTGATTCCTATATTTGTTAAGCCAGCAGCTATTTTCTGGCAAATGAGATGAGTTTCAGCAAAAGTGTAGGATTGTCCACTGCTGCCTGCTATAAGACATGTCCTATCTTGAAATTCAGAGAGCCTCTCAAACAAGTAAACATGAAGAGGAACATTGTTGGAAATTTGTATATCTGGTAATCTTGATCTAAACACGTGTATCTCTTCAGTAGATTGATCAGAAGGAGGAATTACAGAAGAAGATAACTCTGCTTTCTGGGCTTCAACACTAGCTACACTCAACATTTTTTTTCTTCTTGTGGTTTGTAAATCTTCTCTTTTTTATGCAGAGAAAAATGGTTGAAAAGAAAAGTTTGAGTTGTGACTTGTGAGGGTGTGAGAGAAACAAAGAAGAACAAAAAAATTAAAGAGATTTGCTATAGTAAGGAGAAGGGAAGGTGATATAAATACATTGGAAAGTAAGGTGCACACTCCAAAGAGTTAGGTAGGTAAATAAACGTGTGGCGTAGGGGGAGAAAGAAGGAAAAGGCCAAAAGGGGTAGTTACGTTACAAAAGTTGAGACTTGGGACTTCCTCAACCTGAAGTCTCGCAGGTCAAGAGTAAGAGATCAGTGACGTGGCCGTGGCTGAACAAGATATTCTAATAAGGGGATTCAAAAAATACTTTTAACCTATGATTTAAAGCAATTTTTTAACTCGATTATTATTTAATTATTTTTTTCTTAAATCGAGGAGATTCATTGTTTAATTATTTAACTTTTACTATAGTAGATTCAAGAGGAAACTTCATTTATGTCCGTCCGCTAGAAACTAGTATCAGCCGCTAGCCACAAATTGCAATATGCATTTATAGCCCAAAATCAATTATAACGGCTAGCCATCGAATTATACATCTGACCCACAATCACAAACACAGGTTCATTGGAGAAATAATTTTTAGCCCAAAATGGTTTAATTTATTACAAAAATAGATTGTCATTATACAAAAAATATACTAAATAGACTGTCATTATACAAAATATATACAAAATAGACTGTCACTATACAAAAATATACTAAATAGACCGTCACTATATAATTTATATACAATAGACTGTCACTATACAAAATAAATATAAAATAGACTGTCACCATACAAAATATATACTAAATAGACTATCACTATACAAAAAAATATACAAAATAGACTGTCACTATACAAAATAAATATAAAATAGACTGTCACCATACAAAATATATACTAAATAGACTATCACTATACAAAAAAATATACAAAATAGACTGTCACTATATAACAAATATACAAAATAGACCGTCACTATATAAAAAATATACAAAATAGACATTTCGGACTATTAGATGTAATATGTTTAAACCGAAGAGCCATTTTGTATCAATGGACAAAAATATGAGCTATTAAAATTTTGAGGGGCTATAGAGGACAGTTTTCTTTGCATTCAATCCGCCTTTCTCCACCAAGCTCCACCACTGAAAGGACCAATATAACATTTGGACTAGTTAGTGAACCAAAGACAAATTCGTCGTTCAATTCGAAATACTATCAAATCTATCCAAAAAAAAATTAACTAAAAGAAAATCCAAAGAAAAGCTAGTGGTTCACTTCTGCTATGTCTTGGCCGTATAGTAAGCCAGCATTCCAACTATCCGCTAAGGAAGTTCAAGAAATTCCCGTCAACCTTAAGCTCACCTACCAGTCTACCACCGATTCCCTTTAATTGGAATTTGTTTGCGAAAGTACTAATAAGTCTAGAGTAACTCGAAGAAGAAAATAGATATATATTAAATTTTATGTACAAATAGTTCTAAAATAATTAGTGTTTGATAAAAAATATAGATCTTGGTTCAACTAATTAAATTTATACAAATGAGGGTTAATCTTAGTTAATAATAATATCCTAAAGACGAAATTCTCGACAATGTGATAAATAGCAAGTGGATCTGTCCCAAAAGCTATGAAAGTGTACAATAGCTAATATTTAAGAGCCCAAACAGAAGCAATATGCCATTAAATAATGATAAACAACAATAAATAACATTTATGTAGATAGAACGAACGAATCACTCGAGAAAGGATAAAATCAGTGGATGTTCTTTCTGACTATGATGAATGATGGACAAGTCTATGAATATCTAAATTATTCTCGGATCCAGTGGTAAAGTGTGGACAAGAATCTTAATGAAAATGTTATTTTTGTAGGCTTGCAATAGGATCATATTCTCTCTTTAAAGTCAAAGTATATTTTATAAATGAGTATCACATGTCCCCTATCATTGTGTCTCTTTCTATTTATAGGGAACATATTCCTAAAAACCCAAACAGTACAAGTGCAAAGAATATCTACTAGAATATTCTCTTTAATGTCCTATCCAGAAACTAACTATTATGACTCCGTCAAGGATATTCGACCTCGGCCTCGATCCTTGACGACCCCTCGACTTTAATCCTTGCTAACTCTTCAACCACGACCTTTATTGTTCTTTAAGTCACTTCAACACGTGGCGGCCTGGGAGTGTTTCACTAATACCATCCTGACTTAAGTATTTTAGAGATGGATTTTGAACCATACAGTTAGTCCCTCCGCTTATCGAGGTCGTCCCCGCGGACGAGGTCGATGAATGAACAATGCCGTTTGTGATACAATTCTATCGAGTTGACTATATAGGTCGTGGTCGTGGAGATAGGGCAAACATGGCCTTTTGAGGCCCGCATATTTTGAATATTTTGAATTTCTCAGGAAGTCTGTTGGAGCCATCTGGTCCAAGAGAAAAGTGACGTCATGACATCATGCGTCATAATAACATCGTTTCCTGACGCGTTGCATCGATTCAAGTGTGACCCTTGATTGGCTCAAGTGTGACCACAACTTTACCCTTTATTAAGTTGTGGCCGATGGATGTTATTCGAGTATGGTCCAACATAACCTATTATTAAATCGTGGTCGATGGCCGACTGGTATTATTCAAGCATGGTCGAACATAACCTAGTATTAAATTATTGTCGAGGGCCGATGAGTGTTTGTTCAAGCGAGGTCGAACATAACCTTTTCGTTAAATCGTGACCGAGGGCTGATAGGTGTTGTTCGAGCGGGGTCAAACACCACCTTAACAACAAAAAGGTGTCCTGATAAACGTAAGTTTCTTATTACTTCGACATTGTTGCTTTGGTTACATACTTGGAGAAGGTTACAGATTTTGGGTGTTGGATGGCATTCCAGTCCCAGTCCCAGTCTACCTAGTCCCTTTGTTGTTTGACTTGAAGAGTATTGAGGAGTAGAGCAATGAAAGAGTAACAATAGTCCCTCCATCGCGTACTTCGACTCAAAATGTTCCCTTCGCCGTCTCATTAAAAACCTCCTTGAGAAAACCCAAATGGGACAAAAATCAAGTGAGGGAAAAAGAGTACGATTTGGGGGACACTTTTTTTCTTAGAAGTTGAAGTATTTGAGGTGGCTGAAGTTCCAATTGTTTGGTAGCTGCTTTTCTTCCATTGTTTCTAGTTGGAATGAACCCTTGTTTGCTTTGGGTGTGATTTTTTACGGACCATCCCAGTTTGTTCCCAGCTTGCCTTCTCGAGGATCTTTGCTCGCATGAGTTTTGGCTTTCAGCACGTAGTCCCCAACTTTAAGCGACCGAACCTTTGCTTTCTTATTGTAATAGCATTCTACTTGTTGTTTTTGGGCGACCATTCTTATGTACACCATATCTCTTCGTTCGTCGATTTCATTGAGTTCCTTCCTTCTGCTCTCATCGTTATTCATACCGCTTTCGTGGGAGTACCTTAGACTGGATTCTTCGACTTTGACCGGTGTTATTGCCTCGGTCCCATAGACAAAAAAGTAAGGCGTCTCTCCTTCTGGGAGAGGGCCCATGATGTCCATTCCTCATTTGATGAACGACCACGGGGAGGTGACTGAGTGAAGGTGTTCACCATTAAGGCATACTTTTGGCACTGTTTGCATTTCCTCATGAAGTCTGAGGCGTCCTTTTTCATGGTGGGCCAATAGTATCCCGCCCATATGAGGCATCTGACTAATGCTTGATTACTGGAGTGAGCACCACAATGGCCTTCATGGACATCTTCGAGGACGCGCTGGGTCTAGTTTGGGCCCAAATATTTTGCTAGAGGCCGCCGTAAGTCCTCTTGTATAGGTTGCTATGAAGGAGACTGTATCTGGCCGCTTGCATTCTTAGTTTCTTGTCTTTTTTCTTGTCATCTGGGAGTGTGCCGTCCTGCAAATAGGCAATAATACGATTGCACCATTCCCAAGTTAAGCTTATGGTTCTTACCTCGATTTGGTCTAGTGAAGAGTTGAGGAGGTGGACTACACTTTTATCCCAGTCGTGATGCTATTGGTAGCTGCAGCTAATTTGGTGAGGTCGTCCGCTTTGGCATTCTGCGCACGTGGGATCTGGTCGAGCTGGCATTCGCCGAACTCAGGCAGTAGCTTGCAGATTTCGGTATGATAATTTTGCAACCTTTGTTCCTTGATTTGGAAAATCCCTGTGACTTGGTTGACTATGAGATGGGAATTACAGTGGAGTTTCAACCGCTTCGCCCCATATTTGAGTGCTAGCCTCAACTTTGCAATTACGGCCTCATACTCGACCTCGTTGTTAGTCATATATGTGCACCTTATGGACTGGGGAATTACTTCGCCTGTAGGAACCTCGAGTACGAGTCCCAGTCCGGACCTTGATGCATTGGATGCGCCATCGATGTATAGGACCCAGAGGTCTTGTGTTTGGAGGAAAACTTATACGGCTTCCTTTTAGACTTCATATATTATTTTTGCACTGAAGTCGGTGAGCACCTGCGACTTTATCGCCGTTAGCGGTTGGTATGTGATATCATGATCACTTAGCTCGATGGCCCACTTGGCCAGCCTCCCCGATAGCTCGGGCTTATGAAAAATGCTCCTCAGGGGAAAGGTTGTAACGACCGAGATGGGGTGGCACTGGAAATAGGGTCTAAGCTTTCGTGAAGCTACGACCAATGCCACAACCAATTTTTCGAGGTGCGGGTATCTCGTCTCGGTATTGACAAATGTTTTGCTAATGTAATAGATGGTAGATTTCATACCTTTGTTTTCACGGATCAGGACTGCACTTACCTCTACTTCGGAGATGGCTAGATCGACGAGGTGCTACTCCCCAGGTTCAGGCTTTGAAAGCAGAAGTGGTGATGATAGGTATGCCTTCAGTTCTCGCAGATCCTGGACACACTCGAGAGTCCATTCGAGACCGTTGTCCTTTTTGAGTACGCCAAAAAATTTGTGACATATATCAGACAACCGCGAGATGAATCTCGATAGGGCGGCAATTCGACCAGTCAAACTTTAGACTTGCTTCTTGGTAGTCAAGAGCTCCGGTATCCCTTCGATAACTTTGATTTTGTATG